TGTATGTGTGTGTGTGTGTGCGTGTGCGTGTGCATGTGCGTGTGCGTGTGCTGTGCGTGTGCGTGTGGATGTGGATGTAGATGTGCATGTGTATGTGTGTGTGTGTGTGCGTGTGCGTGTGGATGTGGATGTAGATGTGCATGTGTATGTGTGTGTGTGTGTGCGTGTGCGTGTGGATGTGGATGTAGATGTGCATGTGTATGTGTGTGTGTGTGTTGTGTGTGTGTGTGTGCGTGTGCGTGTGCATGTGCGTGTGCGTGTGCATGTGCGTGTGCGTGTGCGTGTGCGTGTGGATGTGGATGTAGATGTGCATGTGGATGTGTGTGTGTGTGTGTGTGTGTGTGTGTGTGTGTGTGTGTGTGTGTGTGTGGTGTGTGTGTGTGTGCGTGTGCGTGTGCGTGTGCGTGTGCGTGTGCGTGTGCGTGTGCGTGTGCGTGTGCGTGTGCGTGTGCGTGTGCGTGTGCATGTGCGTGTGCGTGTGGATGTGGATGTGGATGTAGATGTGCATGTGTATGTGTGTGTACGTGTGCGTGTGCGAGTGTGTTTGCGCGCGCTAGTTAGTGAATATTTATAAGAACTCGAACAAAATTATTTACGAATACCAGGAAGGTGAATCCATGACTTACATCTGGTGTGAACATGTGCTTGAGGCCTTCGCCTGCTCCCTTCAGCGTCACGGCGCGTCCGAAGAAAATGATGAGAATGCAGTAGGGGAAGAGCGCAGTGAAGTACACGACCTGCAGGGATGAAATATAACGTTATTATTTTTATTATACAACTTCATGCCTAATAATGTAGAGCCACAATCACCATATCTTACAACCTTGAATTAAATAGTTATCAAAAACAAAACGGCAGCTCGCAGAAAAAAAAAATAGATAATATATATATATATATATATATATATATATATATATATATATATATATATATATATATATATATATATATATAATACGTGGATTCATTTAAATCACAAAAAAACTGTTTCGTTAAATACAGGTAACACCATAATTAACACAAATAAATAAACAAATAAAGCAAGTATGAATAAAATCGCATTCCTTACCTTGCCTGAAGACTGGATTCCCTTCATGATGCAAACCCAGACCAAAATCCACGACAGGGTCAGGCAGAGGGCCATCCACCATTTGATGCCACCCGTTTCGTCAATCGAAGGAGATGCGTCGATAGTCTGTCTGTACCAGAAGTAGGCAGTTTCACTCGACATTTCGCATTCTTCGACCGGGAGTGTTAAATTCAGTTCCACGTTTGTCTCGTTGGGACACGTTCCGAAGGGCAGCGGTGTCTGGAAAGGGAGTAAGGTAAGTAACTTGACTTTTTTTTTGATGATTAAATTAATGTCAGTTTAAAATGATGCGGATCCTGCAAGTGTAAACAAACAAAAAACTTACTGATTTATTTGCAGTTCTTCTCACGGGACTAATTCATTAAGATTAAAAAGGTGATATATACACGATCAATCAAAATACACGTTTATCCAAGGAGAACATGACTCGTATAAATCAATCACCCTAGCCATTTAAACCAAAAAAAAACATGAAACGTCATCTCACCTTAAACGAGTTGAACAGATAATAGAAGCACCATGCAATGATAACATTATAGTAGAGCCCCACGAGGTATGAGACGATGGTGGAGGCGACGCCCAGGCCGGTCCACCAGGGAGAGATGTGAGTCCACACGCCGAGGGACCCCTGACGCAGCCGCTGCCCGATGCCCAGCTCCAACAGGAAGAGCGGCGCCCCCTCCAGCACCATCATAATCAGGTACGGGATCAGGAAGGCACCTGTGGGCGAGGCGGGTGGTTAGGAGTCGGTCCAGCTGATCCTTTTTCGCTGGCTGAATTCATGAATGGTCTTCGTGTTGTGTGTGTGTGTGTGTGTGTGTGTGTGTGTGTGTGTGTGTGTGTGTGTGTGTGTGTGTGTGTGTGTGTGTGTGTGTGTGTGTGTGTGTGTGTGTGTGTGTGTGTGTGTGTGTGTGTGTGTGTGTGTGTGGATGAGGATGTGAATGTGGGTCTGGGTGTGGGTGCGCGCCAAAGAGAGAGAGAGAGAGAGAGAGAGAGAGAGAGAGAGAGAGAGAGAGAGAGAGAGAGAGAGAGAGAGAGAGAGAGAGAGAGTGAGATTGAAAGTGAGAGTGAGATTGAGAGTGAGAGTGACAGTGACAGTGAGAGAAAGAGAGAGAGGGAGAGATAAATGGTATAAAAGTGTGCATAAATAACAATTTGGTTTAGAATATATTTCTAATCAAACTTTTACTATAAAATGCATTGCTATCTACCTGAATTTTGGGATTATCAGGGATTATACTAACTAAGACTTTTCTTTTTAATCTAAAGTTCTTAATTATCTTTTCACCGATGAGAGAGAGAGATAGAGAGAGAGAGAGAGAGAGAGAGAGAGAGAGAGAGAGAGAGAGAGAGAGAGAATGTTAGAAAGAGAGAGAAAAGAGAGAGAGAGAGAGAGAGAGAGAGAGAGAG